TTCGTTATTGTTATATACATTTATTTAGATTTTTACGAATTTTTACAAGTTCATTTCTCACAGGTCCCCTCAGGTTCGGGTCCCCTCAGGCTCGGGATCCCCTCAGGACAATCCAGAGACGTTTCCTCAGGCTCAGGGTCCCCTCAGGCTCAGGGTCCCCTCAGGCTCAGGGTCCCCTCAGGCTCAGGATCTCAGCTTCATGTCCCCTCAGGGTTTCCCGCCTTCTTCTCAGGATCGCGGCCCTCTCAGGCTCGGGCTCCCCTCAGGCTCGGGCTCCCCTCAGGACAGTCCAAAGGTGTTTCCTGAGGCTCGGCAATCCCTCAGGACAATCCTCAGATTCGGGATCCCCTCAAGATCGCGGTCCCTTCAAGGCAGTCCAGAGATGTCCCCTCAGGCTCGGGTCCCCTCAGCGTTTCCCGCCTTTTTCTCAGGCTCATTCTCCGCTCAGGATCCCCTCAGGCTCGGGATTCCCTCAGAGTTTCCCGCCCTTTTCTCAGGCTCGGGGGGTCCCCCCCAGGCTCGGGGTCCCTCAGGGTTTCCCGCCCTTTTCCCAAACTCGGGGTCCCCTCAGGGTTTCCCGCCCTTTTCCCAAACTCGGGGTCCCCTCAGGGTTTCCCGCCCTTTTCCCAGACTCGGGGTCCCCTCAGGGTTTCCCGCCCTTTTCCCAGACTCGGGGTCCCCTCAGGGTTTCCCGCCCTTTTCCCAGACTCGGGGTCCCCTCAGGGGGATTTTTTTATAAAATAAAATAATAACAATAAAATAAAATAATATAATAATAAAATAAAAGGAAATAGAATAAAATTAAAATAAAATAAAAAATAAAATAAAATAAAATAATAAAAATAAAATGAAATAAAATAATAAAAATAAAATAAAATAATATAATAATAAAATGCAATGAAATAAAATAAAATTAAATTAAAATAAAAAATAAAATAAAATAAAATAATAAAAATAAATAAAATAAAATAAAATAATAAAAATAAAATGAAATAAAATAATAAAAATAAAATAAAATAATATAATAATAAAATACAATGAAATAAAATAAAATTAAATTAAAATAAAAAATAAAATAAAATAATAAAAATAAATAAAATAAAATAAAAGAATAAAAAATAAAATAAAATAAAATAAAATAAAATAAAATAATAAAATTAAATTAAATTAAATAAAACCAAAACAAAATAAAAGACAGTAAAAATAAAAGAAAAATAAGAAAAATAAAAGAAAACAAAAATAAAAGTATAATAAAAACTAAAATAAAAATATACAAAAATAATAATAAAATTAAATTTAAAGAGGAAAACAAACAAAAAAGTAAAAAATAAAATAAAGTCAAATGAAAAAGAAATAAAATACTTAAAATAAACTTTTAAAAATTAAAAAATTTCCGAAAAAATTAAATACAAAAAATTAAAACCAAAATTTATATAACTAAAAAGAAACAAATATAGTAATATAAAATAAATTTCAAGTAATATAATATATTTAATACATTATATAAAAATTAATATACAATTAATATAGAGTAATGTATATATAATATATATAATATATTAAATATTTATTTTTACATTTATTATATAATATATCAATAAAATTTTATTTTTAAATGTTATTTGTTCAGTTTTATATTGTTTTGCTTTCTTTTTTCTTTTTTCTTTTCTTTTTTCTTTTCCTTTTTTATTTTATTATTTCTTGAATTATTATTTTTTTGTTTTATCTTTCATTTTATTTTTTAATTTTTCAATTTAATTTTAATATTTAATATTCTTATTTTCTTAATTTTATTTTTTATCTTTACATTTTAAATATTTGTATTTTTTTTAGATTTAGTTTGCATTCTGGTTTTTTTTTACTTATTATAATTTATTGTATTTGTTTTCTTTTAATTTTATTGTTTGTTTGGTTTTAAATTATTTTATTCCAAATTTTTAATATTTTATTTTACTTTATTTTGTTTTCTTTTATTTTTCTTTTATTTTATTTTATTTTGTTTCGTTTTATTTTATTTTGTTTTTACTTTGTTTTATT